TTTCTGCAATATCAGGGGACTTCACTCTAACTTAAACGCCGTCCACTACCATGTCGAGGCGGCGAGGCCGGCTCTGCTCTTTCTGACCGAGACGCAGGTGTCCTCTCCGGCTGATGTTTCGTATCTATCCTACCCGGGGTACAAACTGGAACACTCCTTTGTGCCTCGGGCTGGAGTTTGCGTTTACGTCAGAGAGGACATCTGTTCTCGACGCCTCGGCAGACTTGAAGGTTCGGACCTGTCCACCCTTTGGCTACGCGTAGACAGCGACGACCATCCGCGCGTCTACGGGTTCCTTTATAGATCCCATAGCGGTAATGCCGAAACAGACCGACTCTTCGACTACGTCCAAATGGCTGCGGATTCGTTGCTACAGCAGATGGGCCGGCCTGAGGGCCGCAGAGATCGTGATCCTCGGCGACTTTAACGCCCATCACGCCGAATGGCTCGGTTTACGTTTAACCGATCATGCGGGGAGATCTGTTCACGATTTTGCCTTGGAATATGGTCTGACACAACTGGTTACTTCGCCTACGCGGATTCCAGATGTGGAGGATCACGCACCTTCCCTGTTGGACCTTCTGCTGACCTCTCACCCGGACGGATATCAGATTTCCGTCGACGCCCCTTTAGGCTCCTCGGACCATTGTCTTGTCCGGAGTGTGGTGCCACTCACGCTGAAATCGCGGTTGCATTATGCAGGCTGCCGCCGTGTCTGGCACTATAGGTCAGCCGATTGGGATGGGATGCGGTCTTTCTTTGCATCCTATCCTTGGGGGCGGGTTTGCTTCTCGCCGGACGATCCCAACGTTGTTGCGGATTCTGTCGCTGATGTGGTACTTCAGGGTATGGAACTTTTTATTCCTTCCTCTGTGGTGCCCATTGGAGGCAAATCTCAGCCATGGTTTGGTCGCTCCTGTAAAATAGCATCATGCTATAAGCAGGAGTGCTACCGAGCCTGGGCTGACGCATCAGCGTCCCGGGATGTAAACAAAAGCGCTCTAAAAAAAGAAGTATAATTCCCCCTCTAGGTCCTTCAAAAGAGTCATTGCCAAGGCAAAGTCAGAGCACATAGGCAGAATTGGCGAGAAACTAGTTCGCCTTCCTTTTGGAACCCGTGCATTCTGGTCTCTCGCCAAGGCTGTCCAGGGTAATCTCTGTCAGCCATCTCTTCCATCTCTGCACAGGGAGGACGACTCACTGGCCCATACCGCAAAGGAGAAAGCCGATATTCTAGGCTCTTTCTTTGCGTCTAACTCGACTCTCGATGACGGGGGGAGTACGCCGCCGACCATCCCGTGGTGTGAGTGCTCCTTGCCGGAAGTGCAGTTCACACAGCGCTCGGTTCGCAAAGCACTCCTCTCCCTGGATCAGTCGAGTGGGCCTGATTCCCCAAATTGTGCTGTGGACGTGTGCTCCAGAGTTGGCACCGGTTTTAACGCGTCTTTTCCGGTACTCCTACTCCCTAGGCCTAGTCCCAAAATCATGGAAGACGGCTTTCGTCCACCCGATCCCTAAAAAAGGCGACCGCTCTGACCCGTCCAACTACCGGCCTATCGCCATCACCTCCTTGTTCTCCAAAACAATGGTAGTCCATTGTAAACCGCCAGCTCATGAGGTACCTTGAGGATCACCAGCTGATTAGTGACCGCCAATACGGTTTTCGCCGTGGTCGGTCAGCTGGTGATCCTCTGGTCTACCTAACTCACAGATGGGCGGAGGCAGTAGAGTTCAAGGGGGAGGCATTGGCCGTTAGTTTGGACATTGCGAAGGCCTTCGATCGGGTTTGGCACAAAGCGCTTCTTTCGAAGCTCCCTTCCTATGGGCTTCCCGAGAAATTGTGCGATTGGATCACCAGCTTTCTTGCAGATCGGAGCATCAAGGTCGTTGTAGACGGTGCAGGCTCCGATTGCAAGCCTATTAATGCTGGTGTTTCACAAGCCTGCGTGCTATCGCCAACGCTGTTTCTTCTGCATATCAATAATATGTTGCAAACCCGTAACATTCATTGCTATGCAGATGACAGCACTGGTGATGCTCTTTACACCGGTCGAGCCAATATTTCTCGGGAAAACGTCTCCGAGTACCGGAAAAAACTTGTGTCTGAAGTCGAGTCTTTGCTGAATAGAGTCTCGGATTGGGGGCGACTAAATCTAGTCCAGTTTAACCCCCAGAAGACACAAGTTTGCGCGTTAACCGCTAAAAAGAACCCCTTTGTCGTATCTCCTCAGTTTAAAGGAACTCAACTTGTTGCCTCAGTCAGTATCGGAATCCTTGGCGTCGACATATCGAGTGACGTGCAGTTTCGTGATCACTTGGAAGGGAAGGCCAAATTGGCCTCTAAAAAGCTTGGTGTGCTCAGCAGAGCGGGACAGTGTTTCATGCCGGCACACCGCCTGCAACTTTACAAGGCGCAGGTTCGGCCACACATGGAATACTGTTCCCATCTCTGGGCTGGGGCTCCCCAGTACCAGCTCCTTCCACTTGACCGCAGCCAACGCAGAGCGGCTCGAATCGTCGACGACCGAGTGCTTTCCGATCGGCACGATTCACTGGCACCGCGAAGAGATGTTGCATCCCTTTGCATTTTCTTTCGCTTATACCATGGAGAGTGCTCTGAGGAATTGTTCGGATTAATCCCAGCCGCCAAATTTCGTGACCGCACTACGCGGCAAACGTCCCGATACCATCCACACCATCTGGATGCTTGGCGGTCCACCACTGTACGTTTCAAAAGGAGTTTTCTTCCGCGTACAACCTCTTTGTGGAATAGTTTACCACCGGCGATTTTTCCGGACCGATACGACCTGGGGACCTTCAAGAAAAGAGCTTACTCCTTTCTAAAGGACCGGCAACGCACCTGCAATTCCCCTGGTGTTGCGGTTGATCATGGGCGGCGGTAGTCACTTAACATCAGGTGAGCCGCATGCTCGTTTGCCCCCTCTTCTACAAAAAAAAATTAAAATAGAGGTGCCAGCACGACCATCACTCCTATCCTGAAACCCTAAAATGAGACTCAGGCCTAAGCCATATCTCCTGGATGGCAAGAATGAAGGGATGAAGTTTATTAATGAGGTAAATAAGTTCATTTTTTTATTTCTAATGCTCCGACAATTCCATTGAAGAATTGGTGGGACTGCGAATGTTACGGGCTAAGGAGGAAAGCTGAGTAAGTTTTTGGCGTAAGCTGAGAGGAAGTTCTGTGTCACTAAAACGGGAGATCATGTTAATTAGTATTGATATCATAAGTTCGCAGAAATTATTATTAATAGAGGAGTTGTTGTCATTACCCAGTAGAGCACACCCATTAGGAAGGGAAGAGTTAGGATTCTCAACAATTGCCTGATGGGCTGCCATATCATGTCCAGAATTTAATGATTGGCTGTAGGTACGTTGAGGGATAAAAATTGTTTTTTTATATGATGCAGTTTGTGAGAGCTGAGCCGAAGGGTCAGATCAGTTATGGTATAAGGGGTCTGTTGAGACTTACGAGGCTGGATTCTTGTTGTATCAGCAAAGGATCTTTTTGTCTGAGGGAATGTAGCTGAAGCTTCTAAATATGAAATATTTTCTTGTGTCATAACAAGTTTAATAGATTTCTGCCTTAGATGTTCAGGACAAGTAGGGTCTTTTGCGGTGTGGGGACCTGAGCAGAATGTGCACAAAAATGATTTTGTGCATACAAACACAACGATAACATGGCCAAATCTACAACATTTATGACACTGAATTAGTGGCAAAACATATTTTTCCACTGGCATAGAGGTGTAAAAACAGTAAATATGGGGAGGAAGTTTTTGTCCAAAAAAAGTTAGAACGACTGTCTGAGTTGGAACCCATGAAACGCTATTGCTGTCACTCACTGTTCGTCTATTAAGTCGCCGTGCTTTAATTATAGAACCATAGCCGGAGGGAATTTCTATAGCTGCTATTAATTCTTCTAGTGTCCACTCTATGGGAACTTGTCTAACTAGCCCCATACGAGTGATACTATATGAGGGGATGGTTGCTTCATATTTAGAAATTTGGAGAGCTGGGTGATCGATAAAGGTGTTTGCATCTGCTGCTGTTTTAAACTCCACTGATATTCTATTTCGTCCAACTTTTTTGACTCCATCACAGACTATATTTTTAATATTGTTATGATACAGAAAGTGACCGAATTTAATTGGTTTAAGAGTTACTCCAGACAACTAATCATTTGAGATTTTACTTACGAGAACTAGAAAAGGAGCGGCATCATCTTGAGAGTACTTAACTTTTTTATTAATAAAATCAGGATGGGTATATGAGGATTGTATTGAAGGAAACTGTTGATTTGGATCAGTAATAACTACTTTTTGTGGATGGGCAGACTCGTTGCTTACTTGGGCACGTTTACGGTTAATTAGTTCTATATTATCAATATTAATGGGTAAGGAAAAGGAATCATTGCGAACCCTTCCGGGATCGGGAGGTTCGTCCTCCATTATATTACTACAACAAAAAATTACATAAAAACGGCACAACTACAAACACTTACAACAATTTAAAACCTCCACCAAGACAGAAAAATTTACTATAGTAAATCAACAACACTAAATAAGCAAAAAAGGCACGACACTTTAATCTCTCACTTCCTCCTCTCGAAAAAAAAAACGATTAAACTATTTCAGATCGAAATGTCTAAATGACATTGACAGATGCAACGTCAAAACGTGAGAATATAAAATGTATAAAAATAATTAAAAATATTTCGACGCTGCTTCGGCAGCAATAATCGCGTTGGGGTGCTTCAGATAAACCCCCTTGACCCCCCACAGTGACAGAACCCTCAAATTCAGGCGACTTAATTTCAACCCAGCGTTTAACTATCATGTCCCTAGCAATGACAAAAGGTGTAATATAGTAGCCTAAAAATGAATGTCATAAAGGGTAAGGGTCCCATTTTTGACCCGGGCTTGTGCCGCTGCTGTGGTTCTATAAAGAAATGTCGCCTTCTAAATGTGGAGTATGAGTGTATGGGAGTGAAGGAAATATATTCCGATATGATGATGGATTGTTTCGGACTCGTGGTGAGTTTTTATTTAATATTATGCTGTTAATTTATTTCACTTGTTCAGACAACTTATGGGTCTATTGGTGTTAGTATAAAAACTTAATAAAGGTTAGTACTGAAACACTATTAGGGATTTAATCTTTTGCATGAGCTATGAATATGCGTGATACCTTGAGTTTTGTGCATTTGGACATCTCATTTGCCATCCTTATATCTTTAGAATAATTCGTAAAAGGTGCTTGATTTTTTTTTACTGTGATTGTCATCCTTCTGCCAATTGTAAGGAAAGACCCATGTTATGCAGTAGACTGTTATGGGCATAAGTGAATTATGATGAAGTAACATCTTCAATGATATTCCTCAATGAAAACAAAGCACCTAAAACAGTTGCTTCTGCACCTGATCTCTTTTATGTATTATATTGCCATCCTATTGTACTTTTAATGTAAGAGTGTAGATTGTGTATCTGTGCTGTGCATTTCCGTAAACTGGCCGCCATGACCTGAATTTAGTCTGGGGACATCAATAAACTAAGGATATACTCTATAATGGGAATCTAAAGCTTCAATATTGCAAGTAAGAAAAATTAAAACTGAATTTCTATAGACAACACACAAAACTAGTCCTTAGCTGCTAAAAACTATCCTTCTAATTTTAATGAAGAAACATTTTTATTTGTTCTCTGTTTAGTTTAATGACATTTAAAAAGATTTTTAAAAAAGTATTGAAATACTATCAATCTGGCTTCACACAGGTGATTTTTGGATCTCTACAACATATGCATGTTTTATACATATATACCTTCCTCTTGAATCATTCTGTCTATTGATGAAAACCTCATCAAAAACCGTTGTGTAGTTTAAAAGATCTAAGCGTACAGACATGGTTTTTATATGTGGTAAAGCCATGCTGCAGTTTTATTAGTAGTATAATTGTAGCACGAATGGGTCGGCTCAACCGGGGTAGGACTACACTCTCACAGAATACCAGCGTAAAATAGTAGCTTAATGCTGCTGTGTTTCGTATGGTGAGTGTAGAGAACCGGAGACCCTTTTTACTGGAAACGAGGCATTCCATCCTAGTCCTCATGGGTGACAACGCAACTGCATTTTGATTCGTAATCAAGGATAGATGTAGATGTCTATGGGCCACAGCAACCACTTACCATCAGGTAGACTGTGTGCTTGTTTGTCACCCTATCCTATAAAAAAAAGACGGCTGGAAGTGACTTTATTTCATACTATTCCTATCTTAAACTAATAATACTTGACTCAAGTGAAATTTACTGTGTACTAGAAACATAGTAAGTACTAGAGATGGGCCGAATATTCATTTTATATTCAGTATTCGGCATATTCGGTAGCTTTACTGAATATTAGTATTCGACCGAATATTCGGCTAAATCACCAAACATTCGTTAAAGTGGTACTCCAAGTGTCCACTGTATTGAAATGTACGAATTGAGTAATGCCATGTCTTTAATAATTTTACTGTTGAAAGTATTATGGTAGTATAGTATATTTATGGGTAAAATCTACTTGTATGGCGTTATGTTTTTGAGGCACTGTAGATTTATTTCCAAATATAGCAAATAGAAAGCTTGATAATTTTTTTTGGAATCATACAAAAATATTACATTATTACATTTCACTTTACTTTGATTGTTTGTTTCTCTAAAATAAGTCCCAAATAGTAGATCACCTGCCACTCATTTATCATACAGAATGGGTCCCACATATATGCAATAAATGAAACCATATACTTGTTATCGCCTTTGCTTACGATATACAAAAATGAACGTAATCGGTCCAGTAATTAGGTCAAAAAGTAGAGTTTTAATTTTAAGCAAATTTGAATACACTATAGAATTGGGTCACTAAGTCAATGATTCAATGAACTTGAATCCTTGAACATTAAAAAGCGACGTTGCCACGCAGTGCAAACTATTGGTATTGCGACATATCGACAGCGGTGTCTTTTGTCGGCGTGCCACCCGCGTGCAACGTTGTCACTCTTCCAAGGGGTCAAGGTACGTTGTCTAAACAGAGTGTTCACTTTAAAAATACTGAATTTATTTTAATATTTATTTTGTTTGAAAATTTCACTTTTTTTATTTTACGGGTTTTAATTTAATATTTAATTTTTCTACACTTCTACGGACTAGTATTACTTGTGGTTTCATTTATTGCATATATGTGGGACCCATTCTGTATAATTATTAATTTTCACTAAGAATAACACAACGAAATACTTTTTTTTTGACAAAAATAGTCAAAAAATAAAGCATGTGCCGGCGAATTGTTCAGTACTATGTGATGCAATAACATATCATATTACGGAGGAGTGAGGGGAAGGGCTTGGCGCTAATCCTGCGCGCTTTATAGTAACAAGTTTCGACATAAATTGGTTAGGTACCGAGGTGATCCTGCCGAATAATGTATTCGGTGAAATCCATATTCGGCCCATCTCTAGTAAGTACTGTAGTAGTACTGAAACAAAATTAAATTAACTGAAATAATTTAATAGATTTTTTTTTTCTAACTCAACCTTACCACTAATATAACTGAGTTTGAATAAATTAATTGAGATTGTTTGAAAATACATGGTCATCCATGAGCAGACTATATAAATGCCTTTTTACCAGAAAAAAGGGTCTCTAGCTATCTATTACTCCCCATATGAAACACAGCAGCATTAAATTGTTATTCTCATAGAATACTATAAATATACAATAGAATGGCTGTCAACCTTATTTTGTACGAGAAATGATGTCACCGGGAGCACAAATACAAACGGTTATGTCACATTAACACTACTTGAAACCCAATTCGCTCATTGTTCATACAAATATTAATAAATAAATGTTACAAACGCAGTTTAATGAAAATAAAAAGAGTCAGACTTTATTCCAAGGCCATAACAACGGATTCACAACAAATCTTTACAGACCGTCTCTTTCTGAAAAGAAAGAGAAGGAATAACTGTGTTGACAGACTGAACATTTTAGATTACTAAAATATTTAGAATTAAAATTGAAATGATTTTAGTGTGCAAACTAATTTCAAATACAATTGCAGTAAGTATTCTTTTTTTTTATTGTTAATATTGTTAAAGTTTTTAAATGTGTTTATGATGCGTAGCATCATATTAGTTTGTGCGCTTAAGCAAACTGTAGTACTAGAAGATAAATACTAAAGTATTCACTTTGTAATTTAAATGCAATGAAAAAATCTTTTGTATGTTCCAAATACCTACACGATTCTTTGTAAATTTTATGGATAAAAAATCCAAAATGAAAAAATTTAAAATTATATATACAGTAGATCCCCGGTAATCCGACAAACATTTTGCAGAGCAGTGTCGGACTATTGAATTTGTCGGGTTATAGAATACTGCCTAAGACCCCTATAGTCCGGAATTGTATAGTCTGGACTGACAAATTACAGATCTAATGATAAGATGTTATATATATGAACTCTGAAGTACAAATCATACTTCATTATGTATATCAAATTTAGTAAATTAAATAACTCAATAGAGAGCTTATGTTTTATTATAAAATTAACATCATTAAAGCTATAGAACTTACAAAAAATATGTAATAACTTTACATTAGGAAATAATTGTGTACAAACAATGTACATACTAAAATAATCAAAAATTATGAAACAATCAATTTAAGAGGCATCAGTTTAAGAGCATTATCAAGAATCAATAACGTTTTTTGAGGAAAATTATGACCTTTAACCATTATTAGAAACAAATTTTTCAATCAGAATCAAAACAATACTCTACACGTCGAGCACGATAGTGGTGGGGCGTACAAGTTATAACTTGTTCAATCATGCATTAGCGAAGATTGTCAAAAAATTCAATAATAAATAATAGACCGTGTCAGATTACAGGGGGTACCGGATTAGACAGGGGTCAGATTACCGTGGGTTCACTGTAATATATATAATAATTAAGCATGTTGTTATCTATTGTGTAATGTTGTCAATTTTAAATTTTACTTCAGATATAGAATATAAGACAAAAATACAATCTACGATAAAATGTATTGCAAAAAGATAATCCATACTTTTCTATTCTAATTCAAAAATCTGTCCAGCTTTCATGACTAAACTGCTGAATTGATTTTGATAAAATAGTTTGATGTCTGGTATTAGTTAAAAAGGTAAACTGTCACAGCTAAGTAGACTTCACAAATTTGGTCATTATTGACTGTTAAACTGAAAACTTGGAGAAAAAAACTCAACCAATTTAGACAATATGTGATATTCAGATAGCTGGAAACATTAAAAAGACTAGGCTACCTTTTATCCTACTATTGAGAATGCGGTATGACCGACTTCCACCCGGACCTACTACATAGTACTAGTATTCATATAATTCTTAATTAGTATTTTTTTATTATTGGTTGCCCTTAAAATGAGTTGTCCCGTTTGCCTTTTTCTTAACATCCACAAATTGCTATATGTTGCAACTAATACAAAACTAACTAAAAAATATTATTGGATAAAAAGTATGAAATTACAGATTATGAAATTATAATTTTGTTACTTTTCACACAAAATGGGTCTTCCCAACCTCAATTTTTAATGATTAGGTGTGAAGTAAACATACTGTATGTAGAAAACATATGTAACCAGAAAATTTAATCTAAAATTCTAAAATAACGAGCATCGCCCACTCCCCCATTCTATTGTGTATGTATTATTATATTCTATGGTTATTCTAGAGCCGTGGCAGCTCAGTGGTTAACGCTCGCTGTAAATATAACAGAACGCGAGTAACCTGAGTTCGATCCCCGCCGGCACCAATGAAATTGTTAATTGCAATTTTAAGTGCTGATTTACCACGTGCTCGGCGGTGAAGGAAAACATCGTGAGGAAACCTGCATGTCTGAGGAATAAGAAAAAAAATATTTTGAAGACATTTGAAGTTCGTCAACACGCATTTGGGCAGCGCGGCGGACACTTCCTTGCCCTAAACCCTCTCAGAAATGAGGGGAGGCCTGAGCCCAGCTGTGGGACGTATATAGGCTGTAACTTTACGTTACTTTACTATGGTTATTCTACACTGGTATTGTGTGAGTGTGTCCTTTCCAGGTTGAAGTTGTAACTGTTACTACCAATATAAAAAAAATAATTGTTAATCTCATAGAGTGCAGTGTGAAATGATGAGATAGAGTAATAATCTGATAAGTGATCAGTTGATGGAGAAAGCCTTTATTAGACTTTTTTTTAATTTCTTTATTAATGAGCTTAATCACAATGTGAATATGTCGCTCCGTTAATTCATCACCAAAAACAATTACATTTGGTGTACTTAAACTTATTACATTATTTTTCTGTAAAGTTTGACTTATAATTTTATATCGTCGGAATGTGGCTTAGCTAAAATTATATTACAATCAGTGAAGTCTTTTAAAATGTGGTAGCACTTATCAATACGAAAGGCAGCGTTTTGGGCGCAATTCATCAAGACATGTAATTAGGTCCTCTGGAACACCGCATTGATCACAGTGCGGTGACTGAACCTTTTCCATAAGGAATTTATTAGACTTGTTGTGATATTAATGGAGCTAGTACAATTTGATGACCCAGAGAAACTAAAATTTCTTAAAAGCTTGGTATCTCCAAACATCAAAGATAGATTTCAAAACAATAACATTAAATTCTATGAATATTATATTATTTTTTTCGTGGTAGAGTCACAATGCACCTATAATATTATATTTGTAGCACGAATGGGTTGGCTTGACGGGGCAGGACCATGCTCTCACAAAATACCAGCGTAAAGAAGTAGCTTAATGTTGCTGTGTTTCTTATGGTGAGTGTTGAGAACTGGAAACGAGGTATTCCATCTTAGTCCTCACGGGTGATATCGCAACTGCATTTTTATTTGTAATCGAGGATAGATGTGGATGTCTTTGGGCCACAACAACCACTTACCATCAGGTGGACTGTGTGCTCATTTGTCACGGATAAGGTAAAAGTAAAGTAAAGTTACAGCCTCTATACGTCCCACTGCTGGGCACAGGCCTCCCCTCATTTCTGAGAGGGTTTTAGGGCAAGGAGGTGTCCACCGTGCTGCCCCAATGCGTGTTGGCGAATTTCACATGCCTTCGAAATATTTTTTTTTAAATTTTTATTAAATAAAATTTTTTTTAGGATAAGGTGTCCTATAAAAAAATTTCTTTAATAAAAAATTACCAAAATGAATAAAATTCCTGTATACATGCAAACACCGGTTTCATAAGACAACAGCAATGGGTAATAACATTTCACAGGAAAATATTAAGATAAAATTCTAATCTTACTTTCTATTTAACACTGATTGTGACTTGAATCGACACTTAGTAAAAATATTTTTAGTCATTTTAAATTAAGTATTCATTTTTAATGCAGTTTACTGTGGTGCTTTTATTTTGAAAATAATTCACATATCTTATTTACAGTTATCTCATCTAGATGGCAAGCCTACAGAGCGTTTAGTATGTGCCACGTGTGTGATACGACTCCGCGAAGCGTTTGCTTTCAGACAACAGGTGCTACGCTGTGAAGAGGCCTTCTTGCAGATGAGGATGTGTGATGCAGAAAGCGAGGGTATGCTATTAAACACAACAAATGCTTGCACTCCATACCATTACTGACCCTATCAAAAATCAACTCTTAAACATAGCCCCCCCCCCATAAAAAAAAAGATTACCTCACAGAAGGGACACTTGATGTAGTTGCCATGGCTGGCAAACAATTGGGCAATTATTTTTATTCAGCAGGAAGATGCTGCTGCCCATCTTGGCTTGGTTTTCTTTATGACACCTGCAGGATAATATGGGATAGTAAATATTCTTATATCGTCACTACACGCTTGCGCGTGCTCACCTAAACGTTATATAATAAAAAAAAAACAATGCTATATTCCACCAGCTTTATGGATTTTTTCGTTAACATAGCTCAGTAGCACGGTAATATTATCTATACAGTATTCCAACTTCATACAAACGGACGAAGCGAGAGCTATGCCTACGCGCCTCGATCTCGGCATGCGCTCGGCATGCAGACAGTCGAGACTGTGCCGCAGTGATGATTTTGTGAAATATATAAAAAATGGAGGAAATAAATAATAGAATAGAAATAAAGAAATAATAAATCTGAACTTCATTTAAAAACAAACATATAAATTGTAAAGTAGCTTCAGGTATCTATAACCAATTAAAAGATATTCCTTTTCTCCACGTTGTCCATGTTTCCCAAAACAATTTTTAATTTATATTATTTTTAGCTTTATATTAGAAAGCGGATTTTTTATATTTAAAAATCTAATAATAAAGCATTTCGTAAGTCTCAGCCGAGGTGCAAATATTTTTCATTCAAACATATATAAATATTTGTTATTCAAACATAAACATGGTTTTTAAATTAAATCTACCAATCAAAAAACGACACGCATTTTTATTGAACACTTCCTATTCAATTCACAAAGTACCTATTTTATTTGTTTATATAAAAAGTATATTTACAATCATAAAACTAAATGGAAACACAAAGTAGGCAAATGTAAAAATGCTGGAAGCAGGTAACCCTATCACATGTTTACGTGCCGCACGGCTGTAGGCATTTATTTGAAAGATACGGCCGAGTTACAATACTGTATAGATAATATTACCGTGTCAGTAGTTTACAGTTGGCGCTAAAGCGGGCTACATACGACACGATATCGGTGGCGATCTAGGGTGGAGTAGTGGGGATGCCTCCTAGATTGCCTCTAAATCGTGTCGTATGTAGAGCCATCCTAAGTCGTAGCCGATATCGCCTCCTTAATCGGCTGGCAGGAGCAAAAATGCTTCCTAGATCAGCCGATGCTTCCTAGATCGGGGCACCGCCCCCTCCTTACTGCGTGTGTGTAGGCGCATCGGCCCGATTTCTTTTAGCAGTCGCTGCCGGCAACCCTCGCGGAAGGAAGTTAACAAAACAGTGATACTGAATGACCTTTTTTTATGTAACAAAATTTTTACATTTTAATCATATAAACGGAGCAGAAGCCTATGGCACTGATATTTTACAAAAAACCAAAAAAAAAGTGAATAAAATAAATAAATTAAATGAAATTTTATCGAAATTCAAATCATATCCACCCTAGCCTGTGACCCTGCGAAGTGACATGGACAAGAATGCCTACTAAACTAATTTTTTATTGCCGTTCGTAAAGTAGAGTGTATGATGTAAGTAAGGAGAAGATAAAGCCTCTCCTTAACAACTAACTCCTATTCCAACACTATCAACACAAGACCGCACTCATATCTCTTACAACTCCACAAGACCACAATTCGATCTCTTACGTGCCTTCATCCTCTTATAAACAACTAACTTCTACTCCTTCACCATCTCCACATCAACAAAAAAGTTATATAAAAGGGAGTATGTCCGAAATTAAAGGTTTCTTTATGTTTAAAAAAAGATATAAGCTATTTTATTTTCTGATAGTTTTACTCTATAAATAAAGATTACATTAAAAAAAAAAAGTATGCATATTATTATACAAAAGTATTTTATTTCCTTGTTTGTTGTGTGTAATACATAATTAGATTTTGACCAAAGCAGAAATGAACAAAGAGAAGAAATAACTAAATAGCATAGGTACATAGGAGAAATTGATGTTTTTATATAAGTGGCGAAATCATTTCTAGAAGGTTATAAAAACTATCTTCATCCATCCGGAGAAAATTAATCATGTCTTTGGAATACAGATCATTTAGTACGTTTATGTGGCTTAATTTTTGTCTCTTTTGGAGCCATTTTTTCACCCAGCAACTCCTCTTTTTCTATTTTCGAATAAATTTACCGAGAGGGCTAATACCAAACCAATACATTGGTGTTTTAAGAGAGTTGAAGCTATTTTGAAGAACTCTACCGCATATGTGTTCCGCTCCAAGTCCGAACGCGTACTGCTAGGCAGGCCCGTGTGTAGGGTCTGCCCCGATAAAAGCCCCGATTTCTTTCCACCCTAGATCGCCACCGATATCGTCTCGTGTGTAGCCCGTTTAAGAGGTTCATGCATTTCGAAGAGTGTGCGCAAGACTTGCGTAATTAATTCCTCCCTCTCCAATCCACCATCGAACAACCAGACGTTCAGCCAGTCTCCACCCTTACGTTGTTGACTTACCACGCATTCGAACCGAATGGTTTGCTTCATCGTTCATCATGCGTACAGCAAAGTAGTGGAATAAGTTGCCAGCATCTGTCTTTCCATCCGATTACAGTGTGGGTGTCTTCAAGGCAAGAGTGAATAGGTTTTTGTTAAGTCAGTGCGCTTCACCTACTTAGGCTACATCACCACTTACCATCAGGTGGGATTGTAGCTAAGCGCTGGTTTAGAATAATTAAAAAAAATCCGCCTATTCGGCCCATAGGTAACATAAGCAACTATGGGAAACACCAGGAAAATGTTATGGATTCCAAAAATAAATTTTATTTCGTTTTAAAAAGTATGTGCCTTAAGAACTAGTAGATTGGAAGCTTCATTTAAACAAATAATGCCTATGTTTGGAGGGTCCGCCCTTCCATTACTATATTCAAGTTACATGGCAGTATGGGTAAACATATTCTATATGCTATATTAAAGTTAGCTATATATTACTTATATTCTAAAATTAGGACAATCCAACGATAGGAACTGGTCTACTTATAAATACTGTATGGTATGTGAGTGAAAGTTTATTTATTTATGTATATGCGTGTGTGCGCGTGTGTGTGTGTGTGTGTGTGTGTGTGTGTGTGTGTGTGTGTGTGTGTGTGTGTGTGTGTGTGTGTGTGTGTGTGTGTGTGTGTGCGTGTGTGTGTGTGTGTGTGTGTTGCGTGTGTGTGTGTGTGTGTGTGTGTGTGTGTGTGCGTGTGTGTGTTTGTGCGTGTGCGTGTGTGTGCATGTGTGTGTGTGCGTGTGTGTGTGTGTGTGTGTGTGTGTGTGTGTGTGTGTGTGTGAGACGTTGCTTGAATCACAGGGGGCGGACCCAGAGGGGCAGAGCTTAGATCGCAGCGTTGCACTTCACTATTAGTATGAATGAACTGCTTCTTGTAACTTATGCACTCCTATTTTTATAAGACGATTTAATTCAATGATTTATATATTTTAGCAAAGATAACTGGCACAGATTAATAGATACGTCCACACCATACGGCGGTCCGAGGGGAAGAGGAGATAGTAGTAGTATGACTTACTTGTTTATTGTTACAGCTTATTAAAGTCCATTGACAGTTATAGGCCTCCCTTATAGATTTCCTTATCAGGTTATTTGCCATAGTTGCCACGTTTGGAAAGCAGGTTGGCAACCGCAGTTTTTATTTTTAGTCATTATTAGGAAGTTGCTGCTGCCCATCTCCTCATTTGTTTCTCATCTGTCGCCTTTTATAACACCCACAACATGATAAAAGGTACAACTCGCGGCACGTAACTCTAGCTCTGAACGAAACGTGGAGGGAATAGCTGAGAATGTCGTATCAGTACGGGGGACGGAATGCGACCGGAGAGCCAATCAGTGCGTGCGAACGATACGCACAGCCAATCATACGCAATAATGCGCAATGCGGCCAATTATGCGCAACAACGGTCACCGCTAGACTTTCGTGCCGCGAGTTGTAATGGATATTCTTACACTGCAACTACTAAAACTCTTTTATATCGGACTTCAAATATCCAAATAAAAGATATGTAAGCTTCCAACTTACGTGAATACCTTGCCTATTGGGCGTTCACTCATTTCCCATGGAAATTGCTAGTGTACGGCTCCATGTTAAGTAGACATTCAAAAGAATTCACAAGAAATAGACTAAAGCGTATAAAGTCTCACTACTCGTCTCGTATCGTATTGTCCCAAGGGTGTTGTGTGAGAAAACAGAGGGAAATTGACCAGGATATGGACAGCAGCGTCTTCCTGATAACACCTCAAAATTATAAAAAAACAACCCGCTTGATAGGCGTGGCAACTGTGGCAACTATTTCCCCCATAAAGCAATCTATGGGGGAGGCCTACGTTCAGCAGTGGACTCTTATTCTGACTCTTATCTGAGACTTTAAAGGCTGATTGTTTATTGCAGAGCGTCGTTTGGCCACAGACGGTGAGAACCTGATGAAAACAGAGGTTAAACTGGAACCCAGCGATGAGTCGTCCCAGTCGCCGCGATCACCGCTTTGCGACGCTTTAGCCGATGATAATAATTGTAAGTATCGTTCTTGTCTCATTAATCCAGGGGCTCTTGGCAGGAGCCTCCGAATGACGTAAACAGTATCAACATAAGTCTCACTGCTGGACACAGGTCCCCCATTCCCGAAAGAATTTAAGGGCAAAAACATTCCAAAGTGCCTCCATATGTGTGAGTAGACTTAACTTGTCTGGAAATGTCATTTTTAGTTTCTTAGACATACAGATACCTCACAATATTTTCCTTTATTTTTTTTATTAACTGGCTTACTGCTCTGGGTTCTAGCCCGTCTGAGACTTATTTTCCTTCATCGAAGAGTATATAGTAGATAATGCGACAGTGGATTTATTGTTGCCAGTGGCGTTGAAAATATCCATGTCAGTCACTCTCAAAAATATTTGAAATGCTATCAACATCACTAATACTCTCTTTAACCACTCCGACGTCCGTCGAATTGGAGGTGGGAGGGGGTGGGGGGAGGGCGGGGGGAAGGTGTACTACTCCCCCTTAAAAGGAAAAGTTGCGGAGCCCCCCCCCCTTTGGAGTTTTTTCAATTTTAATTCTGAGGAAATTTTATTTTTTATGGATAAATATTAAGTGTAAAAAACCATGGGGACCTCTTGGGGGGGGAATGGGGTACCCCCCTAAGGAAGGGGGGAACCCCCCTTCACCAAAAATAAATAGAGGGACTCATTCAGAGGGATTTCTGTATCTATTTTGAGACTGCAACGTCTCCGGCGCTGCGGGAAGAGCAGCCTCTACGCCTTTGCGTAACAAATCGCAGGCATCCAGCCTCGCCTCCGCAGCGAGCGAGCTTCGGCGACCAGCCTCAGCCGCTCCGACTCGTCCGATGCCTACGATTTGTTACAGCAGGCGGAGGCTGCTCTCCCTACGCGCCTCCGGCTCTATAAAAACACTCTAGGTGTAGGACAGACTCGTACCACGTGGAGTACAAGTGGAGTTGAACCTAATCTATTTTATTTGTTATCTGTCCTAATAGGTGGGTACTTTTTTATACACATGTTTTATACAATTTTATACACATATTGCTTTAATTAATTTTTAGAAATCGTCAATTTTACGTTACGTCCCACAAGCCGGCAAAAAACGGTAAACACTACACATTTTAATTTTAATAGCTCATAATGATAATAATTCTGTAATTTAAATATAAACTGTGAAATATATGTGTATGCATGAAAACTATTTAAATGAGTACAAAATATAATTATTTACGTAAAATGTACAATAAAATGCTACCGAACGTATGACAACTTAACCGTACGGAAAACGAACGTTCAATGGCGAGAATTCGATGTAATCTGTGGTAAGGATTGACGTAAATATTATAAAAATAATTGATTTTCAACATTGAGTTATAATGTACTACGTACTAGAGAAGCTATTCCAAACAAAAATTGTGCGCTACTTCTATGTCTTCGCGCATGCGCGGTAATAGTAGAGTCGCGCATGCGCAGTTGGTATAAACGCGCTTTGCGCTTGCGCGGTCAGTTTTTGTTATTATAGATTATACGTAAGTAGAATGGTCAGTATGTAATAATTGTTTATTTATATTGTATTGTTAATTATATCGAGTACTTACAATTTTTTAAATTGTTTTTTATTTTGTATATGTGCTAATTTAATATAATATTACATAATATTATGTCAGAATTACATTTTGATGATATTGTTATCTGAATATTTTAAAAGGTATCTATGTCAAATATAAAAAAACGTACTAAATGTATGTTTAACAAAACTTATTAACATAAAATTTAAATTACAAATATATTTATTTAAATTAGAATCATAAATGTTGTAAATAATCGTTCATAAATGCTGGGCACGCGAGAGTTAAAAATGGACGAATTTATTCCACTTTGACTTTGAAGTGGAAACCTAAAAATAAAATAAAAGAATAATAAGCAGATTTAAACATGAAAAATTTAGCTTAATTATAATAACTTATATGTTTCTACAAAAAAAATGTGTAGTATAATAATATATTCGTCCTAAACTTAAGTACCCACAGAAATGTCGCATCTGAACATATTAATTTCATAATCTATATTCAATGATACGAGATGGCGTCTTAGGAATAATTTGCTTTATTATTAATTTATAATACTTTTTTATTGAATAAGTATCTTATTAACCGATGAAAAGTAATTCCTTGGTTTTTACTGACATTTCTTGAATTATTTGTGCAATATCTAAGTACACAAGACGGCATATTTTTATCAAGAGATTTTTTTTAAATCAACACAACACGTGACAACTCTACAAGCGCCTAGCGAGTGACTGATTAAAGTGCAGTGCATGCACCGCAGTTGAGTGGAACAGAGTAGCTGAATGCAGTGTCTCCTCTAGTACGTAGTACATAATAGCTCAATGATTTTCAATAATTTTTTTCTCAAAAAGCTCCGCATGTTGAAATTTTGCGTGTGTGTTTACAATAGTGTAACCTTTCTGTAAAAAAAATATCAACTCGACGGACGTCAATGGAAAGCTTAGCCCACTTGTGTTTAGGAGTGGTTCACCACAGTAGTCGAAAGGTGGATTCGAACCCACGGCCTTTTGAGTTCGCGGTCCGCACCTTGCCATTAGGCTACACATAGTTGTAATAATTTATCATATCTTTATATATATATATATATATATATATATATATATATATATATATATATATATATATATATATATAGCGATCTTTGAACGGTGAAAAGTTACAGCCTATATACGTCCCACTCCTGGGCACAGGCTTCCTCTCATTTCTGAGAGGGTTTTAGGGCAAGGAATAGTCCGCCGCTCTGCCCCAATGCGTGTTGGCGAACTTCACATGTCTTCGAAATATATTTTTTCTTATTTCTCAGACATGCAGGTTTCCTCACGATGTTTTCCTTCACCGCCGAGCACGTGGTAAGTCAGCACTTAAAATTGCATTAACAATGTCAATGGCGCCGGCGGGGATCGAACCCGGTTTGCTCACGTATTGTGAAAATTACAGCGAGCGCTAACCATCTGAGCTACCACGGCTCTCTGAGCTACCACGGCTCGTGTGTAAAGTAATAACATTTGTTTGCAATAACTTATAATCGTTGTTAATTTCTGAAAGGCTTGATAGATTGAGGTCATATTTAAACAATATCTTTATTTTGTAGAGACTGTAGTTCATGTTAGGAACCGATTGGTCGTACTTTAGTCGAGTTACGAATAAATTTTATATTAAAATAAAGATTGCAGAGGGAATTCATAATGAAACACATATGCAATAAATTTTGAAATGCTCTATGGTGTTAATGCTTTTTATAACTATGTGGCCTTGGAAGGAAAAGGGGAGATCTCCCGCCGGGCAAGGTGTTCTGCCCGGGGAGCGGCCAACACTCCATGTGATAGTTCGGAGATGTTCTATATATACTGTTTATGATTCGGAATTTTGATAGGGTGATTTAGGCTTCGGTGTGTTTCGCTTGCGGCGCGACGACAGCGCCGTCAAAACTATTTAAAAACATATTAAAAGAAAGATTGATAGCTTGGCTTTCTATTTTTTATGTTTTTTTTATAGAAGTAAGCAGATTCATTCACACTATAGCACAACTCTACTTCATAATAAATATCGGTATATCCGAATCCGACACCATAACATTCGGCAAATTAGTAGAGTTAATGTGTGTATTTCTCTAATTCCACAACACTCCAGGATTGAGACCATCATAATAATCACAAAAATTTGATTACAGACGATCCAACCCGTGAAGAGGACGACTCTTCGAATGATGACTTACCACTCTTGCCACGAAGGACTTTGAAAGCTGCTGACTCTGTACAACATAAAGAGGCAATGGACGTAGTTTCTGATCCACCCGTGGCAACTATCTTACCTAAAAAGGAAGCAGAAAGCAATGAAGTTAAAAGGCCACAATCAAGATTGTCGGAGAAAAATGTGAATGGGTCGGCAGTGGTGCCTTTGGTCCGACAAATGCTAAAACAAAGTAAGTGTGATATTTATATTTTCATAAATCTTTTTGTGGCGGCTTGGGATTATTTTTAAATTATATAGTGGACTGTATTGATATTCAATATCCCCTGAAACGTTCAGTTACCGCAGTCACAAACTACTCACGGTCTTACTAGCCAGCTTCCCAAGATCGGCAAACGTTGACAGCTCCCGGTGGCTTCTTCTACACGGTAGAATACACTAGTAATTAGATTGTACACGGTACACTCTAGAGTAGTCCTTATTTTTAGTTTTGAAGAGATATTCACTCCACGATAACACAAAGAGATGTAGCTTCTTACGCTTCCTACCCTCCTTTTTATTCTTTTTTTGTCCCCACAGATTATAGCAGCGCGTTATGCGTCACAATGTTGCCACAGGTTATCACCGGCCCTCAGATCGTTGTAGATCATTGTGTCTCGGTATAAAATTTGCGAGTTGCGGTTTATTACTGAACACACCCCCCACCGAAACCATCTTGATGGTTTCTCCAAAAGATAAGATAAAATTATAACTTAATCTAAGTTAATCTCTATCAAGATAACGCTGAGACCCAGAATGGTCTCAACGAGAAGGTTATTAATACAAGACAATTCATAAGGGAGAGACCGTTTATTAACTGTCTCTGTAAAGTACCCTTTTGGGTACGAAGCGTAACACAACGAACAATCCCTTCTGGGCCGGGGTGAAGAGCCTCAATTCTACCCAAAGGCCAATTGCACGGCGGTATGTTATCAGTTTTTATCATTACAAGATCACCTATTTTAATGTTAGATCTATCCGAATACCACTTTGCTTTCTGTTGCAGCATATTTAAAATATTCACGACTCCATCTACGCCAAAACATTTGTGAACATTTTTGAATATATTGCCAACGTGACAATCGATTCATCGTTATGTCTTCTACATTATACTCAGGTACCGCCGTAAACGCTTTTCCTATTAGAAAGTGTCCCGCTGTCAGTACGTTAAATTCATCCGGGTTATCACTAGCTGGTAACGGACAGAGCGGCCACGAATTGAGAATTGCTTCTACTTTGCAAAACACTGTGGTGAGTTCCTCGAGCGTCAAACCTTTTTCTCCGGCGGCTCGCGCTAAGAAGTACTTGGCCGATTTAATTCCGGCTTCCCAGAGCCCACCCATATGTGGTGCGCTGGGGGGATTAAATTTCCATATAATTTGTCGCTTTGAGCAACCCTCTAATATATTGTTTTTTTGCTCGAACATAAACCTTTGTATTTCGGTTAAATGCTTACTAGCCGCGATAAAATTAGTACCGCAATCCGAGTAAAGAAAAGAGCACACACCTCGTCGCGCTACAAATCTGTCTAAACACGCGAGGAAACACTCCGATGACAGCGACGATAAGACCTCGAGGTGTACAGCTTTTGTCGAGTAACAAACAAATAATGCTAAATATGACCGTTCAATACTAGCGTTGCGTCGTAAACTTTCTTTTGTAAAGAACGGACCACCGAGGTCTACCCCTACATACTCAAAAACTTTATTAGGTATCAATCGAGCTGCTGGCAAAGGTGCCATCTCAGGCTGCAAGAGTTGTGTTTAAAACAAGTATTGCATTTGGACAAAACTGACCGGATAACGCGACGGGATGCTAAAATCCAAAAGTTTTGATTAATAATGTTTTGTAAGGTGCGTGGGCCTACGTGTAAATATTTTTTATGTAAATATTCAATAAGTAATAGTATAAATCTACTATTTTTAGGTAATAAACGGGGATGTCTCGCGTTGTAAGGTAAAACTGAATAATTTATTCGACCCGCCACCCTGAGGTATCCGCGATCGTCAATAAACGGAGATAATTTTCTCAACGACGGAACGTACTTTGTGCCCTTTGACAAATTATTTATTTCATTTGCAAAGTATGAACTCTGTACTAGTTTAATTAAGACGTCTTGAGCGGTATTCAATTCGTTAGTCGTCAGTATGGATTGCTTAGAGTGACCGGATTTAAATCGGAACCATCTCAATATTCGAGCAACCGTACGTTGCAGTTTATAATAAGAAGAGAAATGGGAAAATATTCGGTCACAGAACTCTAGCTTAGATTCTTCTGTTAAATTATTTTCATTAGTGATTAAATTGACGGAACCTAATGAATAATTTGATTTTATTTCGGGTGTATTACTTTCATCTTGGTTGATAAATGTTCTAACTGGCCACTGCGAGTAGTCATCATACAACCAAGATGGGCCCTTTAGCCACTGCTCTTTGCACTCCAAGAGCTGTGACGGAGACGCTCCGCGCGAGCAGATGTCTGCCATATTGCACTCACTACTAACGTGACGCCAAAAGTGTGGAGGTAACACTTCGCATACATGAGTAACACGGTTACTAACAAACGGCTTTAATTTGTAAGCTTCTGTCTGTGAAGCCACGCCAATACGATAGTCGAATCGGTTAACGCAGTGATACGATTAATTTTTACACGAGTTAAAATGTCACGGACATATTTAATTAATCTGCTTAACAAAACTGACGCCATCAATTCCAACCTCGGGATAGTTAAGGGTTTGACGGGGGCTACTTTAGATTTTGCTATCACCAAGCGTACTTTAGTCTGACCTCTGTCGTTACGACTGATCACATACACACAACTAGCGTAACAGCGAGAACTAGCATGGCAAAAGGCGACTAGTTCACATTCAGACTGTTCTGGTTTAATGGTGTGTGTCTATCTATCTTAATTTCCGTCAGTCGCGGGAGATCATCAACGTAATTAAGCCAGAGCTTAGTTATGTCAGTTGGCAGTTGCTCATCCCATCCTAGCCCAGCTTCCATAAATCTTGCATTATTTCTTTCGCGATGAAAATGCACGGCGAAAAAAAACCTACGGGGCCATAAATAGAAGCTAACAATTTCAAAACAGAACGTTTAGTTGTTACTTTGTCAGTCTTATCTACTGCGAAATAAAAACAGTCAGTTAAAGGGAACCACTTCAGACCTAGCACTTTGAACTGAATATTCGTTACCATCTTTCAGGAATGTTACAGGACACTCTCGGTTTTCTAACGGAACGCGTTGTAAGACCCTTCCGCTATTACTCGCCCATCTCTTAAGTATAAAGCCGCCGGAATTAAACATCGCTATAAGTTCATCTTGTAACTGAGATATCTGTGACAAGGAACTACAAGAATATAGGATATCATCCATGTACACGCCCTCGCGCACAACCGTTGCAGCGAGCGGATAGTGTTCTCCCTCATTATGGGCTAATTGCAAAAGTGTGCGGATAGCTAAAAACGGCGAGCAACTTAAGCCGTAAGTGACAGTCTTTAATTCATATAAGTTGATGGTATCATTAGGCGAATAACGATATAAAATATGTTGATAACATCTATCCGACGGATTCAGTTTGATTGCACGATACATTTTGCATACGTCGCAAATCAAACAATATTCAAACAACCCAAAATTTAATATTATAGCCCCAATATCTCGATACAGATTAGGCCCGGTTAGTAGAATATCATTAAGCGAAACATTCGTGGACGTTTTTGCCGAGGCATCGAACACCACTCGCAAAGGAGTGGTGGAACTACTGGGCTTAAGTATACTATGATGTGGTATCACATATTTACTCGGAGTGTCACCCGTATAAAGCTCCATATGCCCTAGATGTTCATATTCGCACATAAACTCTGAATAGGCTTGTCGTAATAAAGGTTAACGATTCAATTGAATAAAACTAAATTTACGGATTTTATCGCGTTTATTTCACTACTTTTACTTATTTTTAATTCCCGACGTTTCGGGTGCTTTACAGCAACCATGGTCACGGGCCAAATCAACGGGCCAAACAAATCGGACCAAAAAATTAATATTCAAAAACTGAAGGTAGCCGGACTAACTATGACATTGGGACGTCAAACATCTCAGTCCCCCCCCCGTGACCATGGTTGCTGTAAAGCACCCGAAACGTCGGGAATTAAAAATAAGTAAAAGTAGTGAAATAAACGCGATAAAATCCGTAAATTTAGTTTTATTCAATGTGTAGTGTTCGCGTAAATTTAAGAAATCATTATGTAAACGATTCAACTTGCGCTCTGTGAACAAGAGTCGTCGCTCGGCTGCCGCCCTTGAAGTGCCCAACGGAGGCGGGTCTGGTATGAATGGTAACGGCACTGAATAGCTACCGTCCTCATTGCGGCTAGAACGAGCCACGAAAATATCTTCTGCTAATTGTTCCAAAGGATTTATCGAAGGCTTGCTGGGCAATTCTTCGACTTTCCAAAACTTACGCAACGTTTGATCTAAAGACTCTTGTTCATCAAACGAGACTGATAAATTATAATTTCTTAAATTGTCCTCTTCATTGCAATAAAGTTTACCACTTACAACAAATCCGAAAGCGGTATCGATCACGCTTGGTATATCCGATGAAATAATATAAGGTTTATCATAAATAAGTTCCGAAACTATATCATTGCCCAACAATATATCGATACCTGAGCGCTTATAAAACATCGGATCATCTAAATTAAAATTCTTATATTTATTAATAACGTCCGAGGAGAATCGAACGTTAGGCATATCGGCAGATACCTTAGTCACTATGACCTTGTTCACTCTAAAACTAGGCAAGTCAGTGTGTAGGGACCTTTCGAAGGGAATTATCGAAGCGGCCTACGTCTGGTATTGCTAGCCGAACTATATGTATGCACTATTTTGTTGAAAGTATCGACTCCACATACAAAGTTACAAACTTGCAAATAGTTTCGATACTGTTCATCCGAAATCGAAGCCATTTTCACCTAAGAAACCAAACATTTATATCAGTATCAAGAAAAATTAAACTTATGTAAGAAGCAACAGGGGTGACGAGTCATCCCACCAATGTCAATATAACAAAAATAACAACTTACTGTGACACGTTGATGTACGTAACTGATTGCATTCACTCCAATTGGGGAATAGATCGAGCATTAGAAAGAGACAAAAACAACGCCAAGAAAATATTCAAACTTTTTTTGAATAGTAGGGTGACGCGTCACCCCTGTTGCCTTCCTAAGGTTAAACAAAAATCAAGCTGTGTAACATATTGTATATTTACGTCACAAACATAAATTACATCTTTCCAGATCTTCCAATGTCTAAAGTGCAGCAGTTGATGAGGGAAAGGGATCCGTCTTACATGACGGAAACAAACATACTAACTATCGTAGAGTTCTCCTACGTCTGCCCTTTCAAATGCAGGCACAATCACTTACTCTGCTACTACTGTGGAGCAAATTTCCCTGATCCTCACTTATTGAGGCAACACACAGCCAACTCCCATCATCCGAAGAAGTTCAAAGTGATAGAGCACAAGAATATGATAAAAGTGGACCTAACAAGGATAGACTGCAGACTGTGCTCCGCTAAAATCGACAATCTCGAAGACTTCAAAAACCATATAACAAGTGTCCACGACAAAAGATACTACTTTGATCATAAAGATTCAGTGTTACCGTTCCGTTTGACCAAGGACGAGTTGAAGTGTGCAATATGTCACATCACCTTTCCGTATTTCCACGCATTGAACAAGCATATGAACGAGCATTTCAGTAATTATGTGTGTGAAACTTGTGGGTTAGGTTTTGTTGATAAGGGTCGTTTCGTGATGCACCAGCAAAGGCATGAAGAGGGTGACTTCCCTTGTGAGACATGTGGGAAAGCGTTCAAAGCGCAGTATAACAGAGACTTACATGTGGACAGGGTGCATAAGAAACGAGCAAGGGTGTATTGCCCGAAGTGTGATATTCGGTTGATGACATATCAGCAGAAGTTGAAACATTTGGTTGAAGTGCACGGGGAGGAGCCACTAAGTTTTCCGTGCAACTTGTGTGACAGAGTTTGTGAGACACGGCGATCCCTGACCATTCATCGGAGGAAGGATCATTTAAAAGATTACAGGTATAATACTTATTTTAGAGAAATACTCATTTTTTAGTCTTGAAATTTGGACTATAATTTAAAGATAATAAATTGGTATAATTTTGACATTTACTTCTGAATTCTATAGTTTTTTATTTTAGTTAGCATATTTCCGCGGGATTTCTTTCGTGAAACATGTTCTAATTTAAACCTGCAACTAAATATAAACTATTTTTGTAATAAGTGTGAATCATAACCTTTCCCTGTCTAACACTTAGACATTTTCCTGTATCATACAGGTGTTTACATACATATATTCATATTTAAAGACCATACAAATACTATGGATAGTGATTTTTATCAAGTTATTTCCTTCATTTTTGATAATTGTGTAGTGGCAGTATTTTTATACCCACTACCTCATATCTCCGTGGATGTGAAGATAATTAGTAAGTAAAGATATTAATAGTTACGTTGCAACCATCCGCTCAATTAAATACAATGATGTGTCTTACCTGGTTTGAAGAGCACCTCCCGCCCTCCCTCAATTGTTTGCACTAATCCCGTCACCACTAATCCCAGCACCACTACTCTAGGAAAGACACACAATCGACGATAATACGACACGTGTTTCGCCTCTACACGAGGCATCTTCAGGTGATGTAGACTCTACGGCGGCTGATCACTAAGACTTAGTAACACGTAGTGGTGCTGGGAAGAGTGGCAACGGGATTAGTGCACTCAATTGAGGGAGGTCGGGAGGTGCTCTTCAATCCAGGTAAGACACATCATTGTATTTAATTGAGCGGATGGTTGCAAAGTTACTCTTAATATCTTTATTATAACGGATTTCTGCAAAGTAACGCCTGATTCTATTTCTGCAAAGTAGCGTGCTCCAAGATATAGAGAGTGCTGCACCTGCTTGCGGCCGAACACAACCGTGGCCGCATATCGTTGGGCGTCTTTCTCGATATCGAGAAAGCGTTCGACCGGGTGTGGCACACAGGATTACTCTATAAATTAGATGTGCAAACAAGTATCCCTCCTGCTATATTGCGGCTAGTGGCGTCTTTCCTGGAAGCCAGGAAGTTCTACGTCTGCGTAGAGGACGCCGAGTCCGCAATCAAGACCATAACAGCTGGTGTGCCACAGGGCAGCTGTCTATCTCCAGCCCTGTACGCGGCGTACACTAATGACATACCCACCCTGGCAGGACACTTGCAAGAATGGGAGGACGACGTCGAACTAGCACTGTTTGCGGATGACAGCGCATACTTCACGTCGTCCAGAAGAGCCCACATAGCAGCTGCCAGGATGCAACGTCTGTTGGACCTGCTGCCACCATGGTTGGGTGAGTGGAGGATGGCCGTCAATGTTAGCAAGACGACCGCTCTACTCACTCGCCGCTATAGAAACCTACCACCACCGCTAACCCTCGGAGGCCAGGAGATCGCATATGAGAAGGCCGCGACCTACCTTGGATGTCGGATTGACAGGATGCTGCGTATGACTGCGCATGTTGACTCTGCTATACGCAAAGCTCGATGTGCGCGGGCAATGCTACGTCCTGTCCTGACATCCAAGTTACCGACAAAGTCGAAGATAACCATTTATAAAACTTACATAAGACCCCTGCTAACATACGCTGCTCCGGCCTGGTATGCACTCCTGAGCGATCATCAGAAGCGGCGACTTCAGGCCCAGCAGAGTTTGTCATTACGAACCATAGTCGGTGCGGGTCGCTACGTCCGTAATGAAGTCATAGCGGCCAACCTCAAGATAGAGAGCCTACATGATTTCGTGGTCCGGCTGGCGCGCGGTATGTTTGACCGCGCCGACAACGGGCCACATGAACACCTCAACGGCTTCGCGCCGTTGCATGCAAGGCCGCCGGACGGGCGACCTTATCCAAGAGAACTCCTCCCTATATAGATTAGGGAGTCCGAGTAAACCCCTCAATGCCGCAGAAAGGCCAACTTGGACAAATTGTGTTATTTAAACACAATTCTTAGATAACCTCCTTTTATTATAAATTTACCGACTGCGACAATAGTCGTTATAAGCAACGCCTTTAACATCAAGGCGCCCAGGACCGGCACATTGTAGTGTGCCGTGAGGAACATCCGGGTAAAGGGGTACACCCCGAGGCCCGAGACCTGCACGGCATTTATGCCCTGCAGAGGACAACAACGTTCCAAGATATAGTGTGCTGCTAAACTTAACGCGCTTGCCGGCCTCCTACACACTTTTTTATAAATAGCGCGCTATAACATAGCGTATTAATATATAAGCTTAAGATACCCTTCTCCAAATTAAAATTAGTTTCAAACAGCCCTCACGTTATGTCAATAAAGATTTATAACCATTTACCGAATTCATAAAAACGGAAAAGATTTAAAAAAAAAAAAAAAATATAAAAAAATAATTTAAAAATTTGGAAAAAAAAAAAAACATTGTGTTTCAAATTAAATTAATTTATATAAAATAATATAAAATGTTGATGATATGATAATTTGTAATTTATGTTTAAAAATTAGATAATACGAAAATAGTTAGCCCTCTAGTGTTGCTATGCCCTTGCGGGGCGTCACATGTATACCGATCAAAATTGTACCATCTTAAATTGATGTGACATACAATAAACAATTTGAATTTGAGTATTTAATAGCGCGCTAGAAATTTCTAGTTTATAGTCTGTAGCGTGCTATTGATTTATAGTCGTTTTGAACAACATTAATATATATATATATATATATATATATATATATATATATATATATGTCCCTCTCGGGCACAGCCCTCTCATCTCTGAGAGGGTTTTAGGAGTAATGCCACCACAAGTGTGTGGTGCAGAGCAGTGGCTGCAGTATCTTTTGGCAGATGCATGTTCTCGAAATATTTTTATTTTGCTTATTGTTACGGTTACAGGCTGTTAAAGTCCACTGTTAAACATATGCCTCCCCCATAGATTGCCTCATGGGGGGGGATATTTGCCGTAGTTGAGACATTTTTAATATTTAGGAAGACGTTGCTAGTTGCTACCCTGATCCTGATGTTTTTTTTTTTAAATTTATTTTATGTACACACATTAAGGTACAGAAGCAGTCTTATAGTAATTACGTACAAAGGTTCTACTTATTCCAAATTCGCTGAAATATCTTCCAGTAGACCCATAAAGGAAATTATATTTAAATTGCAAACTTAGTGCATACATTAGTACTACTAAAAATAAATAATATACACAATGTTACGGAAATTATATAAAATAAAACAAAAAATAAAATGTTTTTCCCTGTGTTTTGATAATAGATGACTATATTAGTATAATCATCATCATCATCATCATTATGATCCGTATTATAGCCCTTAAAAAGCCCACTGCTGTACGTAGGCAACCTTCAATGAATGCCACAAAACAGTCGAGCACACACTCCACCTGATGGTAAGTGATTGTTGTGGCCAATAGACATCTATAGTTATCCTCGATTACGAATGGAAATGAAGATGGAATTACTCGTTTCCAGTAAAAAGGGTTTCTGGGTCACTACACTCACACAGCAGCATTAAGTTATGCTGGTATTATGTAAGAGCGTGGTTCATCCCCGGTCGAGCCGACACATTCGTGCTACAACCGTAATACAGCTGCAGCGTGGCTCTACCACGTATAAATGGTGATACCACCTATAAAAATAATCTTATGATAATTTGCAATTCTTTAGGTACGAATGTAATTGTTGTGGGCACAAGTTCTTCACACGCTTCGCTCTCAACAACCACATGCCTACTCACACCGGGGAACGGAACTTCAAATGCAAGGTGAGCTTGAGATATGACAATAAGTTTAACCGTTACAGCCTGTAAAGTCCACAGCTAAACATAGGCCTGCCCCAAAGATTGCCTCATAGGGGTTATATTATATTTTTTTTCTAATAAAATGGGGAGTGTGTACCCTATACTTTTCGGGGGAGCTGTAATGTGATAAAAATGATGTAAGCAATAAATTAGACCCACGGCTGTGTAAACGTGGACTCGCTCCCACGGGCGTGTAGAATTAAGCTTACGCGGCAATCCCCTCTTCGCGTGTGAACTGTATGTTAGAACATTAATTTCAACCAATATTTCAGACAATATACTTTGCGCCGTCTTACAAGTAAAATGCCTTTTATTTAAACACCCAAAAGTCTATATTACATGACGACCCTACCAGGCGGTGCGATGCAAATGTTATTTGAACACCTGAAGAACCCATCATATTACACCATAGTAGTCTTCTGAACTATAACCTCTTACGACCCCCCTTGGTACGATATGTGGGAGTGAATATTCTTACACAACCACTACATGTTAATAGTGTACCGCGGACGACGGAGGTTGAGAAGTGACCACAACTGCATTGATGTTTTGTATCTGGATGAGAATCTGAAACAATTTTACGTGGTAGAGGTTTTGTGGGGTTGGCTTGGCGGTGATCTGCTTTACATACCAGATTGAAGCAAATTAATTCTGCTGTTAAAATACAAGTGTATTTTAGCAGCAGCATTAAACTGCTGAAATAAACTCAGTGCTTTCCGATCCTTTTGCATTTTCTTTCGCATCTACCACGGGGAGTGCTCTGAGGAATTGTTCGGATTAAATCCAACTGCCAAATTTCATGAACGCACTACGCGGCAAACCTCCCGATACCATCAACACCATCAAAAAATACATTAAAAGGAACCTAAAACAAAAAAAAAAAATGAATGCTTGGCGGTTCACCACTGTATGATTCACTAGGAGTTTTCTTCCGCGTGTGGAATAACTCTGTGGAATAGTTTAATACCGGTGATTTTTTCCGGGCCAATACGACTTAGGGACCTTAAAGAAAAGAGCTTACTCCTTTTTAAAAGGCCGGCAATGCACCTGAAATTCCCCTGCAGTTGTTAATAGGCGGCGGTGGTCACTTAACATCAGGTGAGCCGTATGCTCATTTGCACCGTCTCCTATAAAAAGATCTGCTTGGCCCTGCAGGCTATCCCTGAAACTTCCCGCTAATTTCAAATACAAAGCGCGCGAAATCTCGAAGTTATGTTAAAAAAAGTTTTTTTCGAATTCTTTCCCCTTCGATATCTTACGAACGAATGAACCGATTTATATTTTCCGAACGTCATTCGACGTCATTTTTTGAGGTTAAGAGCTGATTAGTTTTTGAAATCGATCGGTAAAGCCGTTTAAAAGTTATACCAAAAAAACAGTTTTTTCAAAATTTTTATTTTTGAGATTTCTCAGAATCAGATCATATTATCACCAAATCTGTTCCAGATTGAGATCTTTAGAACGCCGCAAACCGCATCTCAATCGATCAAGACATTCAAAAGTTATGAAAGGTTTACATACATACACACATACACGTGAAATTAGTCAGAATAGCTTCCTGGGATCTTAAAACGTCGAGATCTGATGAAAACTCGATTTTCGAAAATTAAAAAACAATTGACTAAACTTTTGAAATAATTTTTCTACGATACTTCAAAAAAAGGAACAGGTTCTCAATTCGACAGTTATCTCATCTTATGTGTGTGTTACCTCAGAACCTTTACTAGGTTAACCAACCGATTTAACGATTTATTTATTTGAAAGCTGGTGCTTCTCATGTGATCCCATATAAATTTTATCAAGATCCGACTAGTAGTTTTTGAGTTATCCTCAATAATGCATATTTAATCGATTTCGACTACATTGATGATGTTCTCATTTTATTTATATTGAAGTCGGTTGTACAAAATGTTTACTTTTACCACTTGTTAATCTATCATGCGTACAGGTTTGCTCACGAAGTTTTCCCTTACCACCAAGCATTTGGTAAATCAACACTTAAAATTTCAACTGGCAATTTCATTAATGTCAGCGATAATTTAATAGAATTTAAATTTTTTTATTGAATATAGATAACATAAATACTTACTGAAAGTTGTTTACCACAGGGTCAGGAAAAACCTCTGTCCTGGGAAGTACCAGTAGGTTTGCTACTATATACCATTGAGACTATTTTGTAAACAACGATTTACGATGTAATGTGTTGTACAATTAAATTTGAAAACATTTATAATAGCATGGTAGTGATCACCTCATTCCCTGGAGATATTATCAATCATGTACTCTTTAATAAGAAATAATTTTCGCTTAATTATATTACGATTGTAAGTGACGCCCTAGACGAGTTTATCAACCAAGTTGACAATATATTTTTTTATATGATAGGGTGACAAACGAGCACACAATCCACCTGATGGTAAGTGGTTGCTGTGGCCCATAGACATCTACATCTATCTTCGATTACGAATCAAAATGCAGATGCGTTGTCACCCGTGAGGACTAGGATGGAATGCCTCGTTTCCAGTAAAAAGGGTCTCCGGTTCTCTACACTCACCATACGAAACATAGCAGCATTAAGCTACTATTTTATGCTGGTATTCTGTGAGAGCGTGGTCCTTCCCCGATCGAGCCGACCCATTCGTGCTACAACTATACTACTAATATAACTGCAGATTGGCTCTACCACGTATAATGAAGATAGGCCAGGTTAAGAATACCCTTAACCGACGAGCATGTATGCGTAGGTGTATGGTTGTAAAGAAGGCGAGAGAGTTGTGTCAGGATCGTGCCAAATGGAAGTCTGTAGTCTCTGCATACCCCTATAGGTAACAGGCGTGAGTGCTTAAGTTTATATTGGGTTTATCACCGTGTTTCACAAATTTCCCATTATCGTTTTCAGGTGTGCGAGAAATCATATCCTCGCCTTAAGACTCTCAAAGACCATCTCCGGATCCACACAAACGACAGACGTTACCGTTGCCATGTCTGCGGGCAGGCCTTTATACAGAACTGCAGTCTCAAAGGGCACATGAAGAGCCAGCACCCTGAATATGGATAGTATACGATCACGCCGAGATATCTGTAAATAGTAGGCAATTTGTTGCCCACGTATGGGCTTCATTTTGTGAAGTAAGCGTTCACTTTAGAAAATTGTATACAAAGACTTCTATGTGTATTACTGGACCAGCAATTTAGAACAAATTCTGTATCACAATCGCGCAAGTGCGTACGCGGGTGGATAGCTAGCGCGGTAAATATGCCATGCAGTTGTTCTTTTCGTTTACAACAGTTAATGTTTTTAGGCAAATACGAAATAAAGTTAATTACTTATCTATACTAATAAATACTAGGATATTATTTATTTATTAAGTTTATGAAGCAGAAAGAGTTTTTTTGTCTCTTTTTTTATAGGATAGGGTGACAAACGAGCACACAGTACACCTGATGGTAAGTGGTTGCTGTGGCCCATAGACATCTACATCTATCCTCGATTACGAATCAAAATGCAGATGCGTTGTCACCCCTGAGGACCAAGATGGAATGCCTCGTTTTCAGTAAAAAGGGTCTCCGGTTCTCTATACTCACCATACGAAACACAGCAGTATTAAGCTGCTATTTTACGCCGGTATTCTGTGAGAGCGTGGTCCTTTCCCGGTCGAGCCGACCCATTCGTGCTACAACTATACTACCAATGTAACTGCAGTGTGGCTCTACCTACGTGTAAAAAGTTTGTTTAAAAAGGCTAATCTCTGGAAACACCAATCCGATTAGAAAAAATATTTTTGCATAATATGATATCCAAATTCATGAGGAATTATATAGATTATCTAGCATGGGGCTACACCTCTTAGCTAGCCTTTAATATTGATTTTCAACCTATTAAAAAAAAAACGAGGAGGTACTCAATTCGACTGCGTTTTTTTTATGTGTTACCTCTTTATTTTAATCTAGGTGAACCGATTTTAAAGATTCTTTTTTTTATTTTAAAGCTGGTGCTTCTCATGTGGTCCCTTATAAATTTGATCAGGATCTGACCCTTAGTTTTCGAGTTATCCTTAATAATGCGTAGTTAATTGTGCTCGACTACATTGGTGTTGTTCTCATTTTATTTTGATAAAAGTAGGTTGTACAAAATTTTTAATTTTACCAAACGTGATTTGAAGTTTATCTGAAATAAACTTCAAATCACGTTGACAAAGTGCGTAAGATAAATAATGACAGCATTTTCTTACGTCACATTAAACAAAATCAGGGTCAGCTTGTCGAAAACAACGTTCGCGGTTAAAAAAACAAAAAAAACTCGTCGACGGAGGATATAGACTAGAGAAGTCATCAGCGCTTTGAGTATTCAACCAACTGTAGACGCAATGCGCGTTAATTCCTAAACAAAAATTCTGTCAACATCAGGGGGCGCAAGAAATACACACAACTTTATACTTTACTACAAATGCAAAATTAAATCGCGTCACTATAAACGCACACTACAGCATTTGTGTTTGTTTGCCATCAAATTGTACACGTGTCGATACACTGGTGCCGCTGTAAACATGCGTAAGCAACGTAGGGCGTGGACTATGTCGATATTTTCTATCGATAAACACTACACCATAGTCCGAATATGTTTTTATTTGATTACATGTAATACATAGATAAACAATACCAAGGTGTTATTTGAAATTCTTTTTTTAAAATATTTAAAAATGATCTTCGGAAAAAGCTTTGAAATTATTGAAAGTAAGTTTATTATTTTGCTACAGGTTTATTTGACATTATGCACTATAAAAAATAAAATAAAATAAATTGTATTGTGTATTAGTGATAAATGAAATGAAAATAAAACAAATGACGGAGTACCATGCAAGTTCTAAAAGACATTTTGGTAATGTTAATTATGGATTTCACTTCATTTTTGACAATTCGGAAAACGCTACTGATGCTTTAGCATTTTTATTAATGGGCATTAATACTTTTTGTAAAGTACCCATTGGGTACTTCTTAGTAAAGGGTACAAGTGCTGACCTAAAAGCACGGCTGGTGGCCCAAGCTTTACACACAGTTCATGAAACCTATGGCTTAAGAGTTAGGCTGTTGCTTAAAATTTACAGACTACTATATTAGATCCACGTACAGGACACAATTTTTTTTTCTAGATATCTAAATCTGGTGCGTAATGCTTTGCAGTTTTATAAATATTTTATTTTATCCAAACTGTACTAAATTTACCTTTATTTGAAGACGTTGCGCCCATATCTAATTTTTTAAAGTTAATGATATTTTCGACTCAAAAAATTGGTCTAAAAGTTTTTATATGATTAAATAGGAATAACTATAAAAGAGTCTTTGCCAGGTTGGATGATGCTAAAAATGTTCTATTAAACATAGAAATCAATGTCATTTCTCGTAATAACGTATACATATGATTTTTTAAACAGTCCTCGGTACATAGGATTTTTAGTATTTCTTGTGTACATTGAAAGTGCTAAACGCACATTTGACAATCTGGTATTAGGCCCAAACGCTTCACTTACTTATTTATCGCTACACAAAATTAGTCAAGACCATATAGAAATTTTATTTTCAAACATCAGAAGTCATGTTGGTCATTATGATAATCCCCCTTCGCACGTTAATTTAAAGCTATTTATAAAAAATTGCTAATACATATCAAATTGATCCGAACTGATAGAGGCACGAATTGCTGTGCTATGAAATAACTGAAAAAAAAATGGTAGCAGACATAAAGACTTACACCGATTTGTCACCTTTTGGCGGAAAAGTGGTCGAATATATACCCGGCTTTGCTGTTTTTACTATAATAATAAAATAAGTGTAGCACATATGAATCGCTAATTACAAAAAGGACACATGTCCCTACTTGTAAAATGTTCAGGAGAGACAAAAAACTATTTTACTTTATAATTAATAAAAATAAAACATATTTTATTTTTAGGAACATTTATATTGGTATTTTCCATGAGAATAAATGAAGTTTTCTTTTCAAATTAATTTAGTTTATTGTTAAATTGCAAAAAGAAAACATGGACATGTTTCCTTTTTGCTGTTACCATTGGACATGAGTCCTTTATGCAGAAAAAGCATTATAATTTCATACAAAATGTTATAGAAAATTAAACAAAGAATAATTGAAATAATGTTTATTTACTAAACATATATCATTGTTTTTACAAATTAATTATGCACTCTACTATCCCTTTCTGTACGATTTTCAGTTGGCCATTCATAAAGTTCATTCCAAAAAGTGTTATATGTTGAAAGAATGTAAGGCTTAAGTTTTTTTTAAATCTACCATTTTACATTCTAACAGAGGTATTTTATTCTGATAAAGTTTTTCTGATGGCAAGTGTAATGTAATTGTGGTGGGTTTTCTCAAATGAAAATAATCTGATAATAGGCCACCAATAAATTCTTTAGTTTTTACAACTTTTGGCTCCTTTTCATTAAATTCGAAATAATGGTAATTTGATATTGTCAATGGAATTGAGGATGAGCCACCTTGAGCTTCAGATTTTTTATTTTTATAATAAAAGTTAGGGTACCAGTTTTGGGACATCATAAATAATTGAAGAATCTGCCAGACACACAGTAAACTTATCTTGAATATTGGAAGACTTCATTATTACTTCATCCACATACTGCTCTACTGTTAGTCTGTCAAATTCTTTTAATTTTCTTTTAATGAGACCAAATGATCGGTCACATGGCAAAAATGAGTGGCCACGTTGAGGAAAATGCAGCTTAATTTTTTTAAATAAACCAAGTGCTATCAAACTCATCAGCATTCTTATAAGAGCATGGTTTTTGTTTTGACTCCAGCAATTGTCACAAAAAAGGTGCATTTCTTCTACTTCAGGGTCTAAAAAATTCTTAAAGTAATGTAACAGAAATGAAGTGACATCATCAGGTGTTCTCCTTGCCATTCCTTCATGATATACATAGCAAGTTACCTTGTCATTTCCTGTATTATAAACCCCAAAGGTGTTCACACCGAGCTGACGGTAATAATATACTTCTTGCACAGGTATCTTAGGCAAGTCTAGCACAGCCATGAAATCAAAACAAAGTGCAGCTATTTTTTTATTTTGTTTGGCTAATTTGGAACAGTTATCCATAGTTGAATAGAATTTTTTACTTCTATTTTTATGAACTAAAAGTTCTGGGACTGAAACTCGTTTAGCCACATCATTCAAAGAAACACTTTTAATTTTTGCGTTTAATTCTTCACACTTTGAGCAAGTATCTTTTGCAGGTTTTCCGAATGTTAGAGAGAAATTTCTTTTGAAATACTGCCTATTGGCAGTATTTCAAAAGAATTCCATTGAATGTGTAAAGCACTTTGTCTTTTAGGTCAGGGTACTTTTCAATAAATAATCTGTACATTTTTTTAATATTTAGATCAGCACTGAGATAAAAGTATGATCGTGTTGTGTAGTGTGATTCGCGAACTGGAAAATATTTAATATGCCCATCTATTTTTTGTATGATATCAGAGGGCATGGCATTGACACTGCTTTTCTTGCCTCGACGATATACAGGCACAACATTTTTTTCTAACAAATTTGAAATTCTTCTTGCCTTTTGCTTGTAATGTTGTGAACATTGATGAATACGTTTTTACAAACTTGCGTACGTATCGCACCAAGCAACAAGAAATATTTGAAATTCTTTGATTTTGGTTTCCGATCACATTCCAGTGTATCAGCACGAGCTCGTGATCTTAAAATTGGTGCAATTTCTATCATTCTTTGCAAGTGAAGGTCTTGTTCATCCTTGGATTTAAGTCCATAAAATATGAGAAATACATCATCTAACAGTTCTGGTGGATTTATTTTTGCTAAACATTTGCCCTTGCAACTGGAAAATAAAAAATTATTTTATAATACAATATGACAAAATACCATAGTGACAGGAATATAAAAAGTATCATAAAGATAATTACCAGTTTTTGTTGATAAAATCTGGATCATTTTTGGCGGGCACGCATTTGCCGGCCCTATTTATGTGACTTTCGCCCAAAATTTTTGCCTTCTTTATTACATTTCTTTTGTAATTTTCGTGGTTTGAAATGTTTTTTTTTTCTTTTGCGGCTATTTTCGTCCATTATATCAAGTGTAATTCACAAAATATAAGTATTTTATCACGTTAGAAAACGCCACTCACTGACCTCACATCGATTTTGACGCTGACAGTTGTGATGATTGATAGGTTAGTATTGCCGTAATTTTTGTAAAAAGGGCACATGCTCACGACCATGTGCCTTTTATGCAACAAACTACTAAACTCTGTGTTCAATATCTCTATGCTGGTTAGCTGCTTATGTGTCCTTTTTACAGAAATGATGTATAACGATAAAATACGTTCGAATATGCAAAAAAGTGATTTCGACGAAATGTTCACCATGTGCCCTTTTTGCAATTAGCGATTCATATATAAAAGCTCTTCTGGATGCACCGGACAAAAGTAGTTTAATTAATCAGACAAGTAGAGGTGTTTTATTGTTTGCATCTAATGAGGTAATTAATTTGTGTCGCCTTTGTGAGATAGACATTAGAAAAAACTTAACTCCTGACGAAAAATTTAAGCATTCGATTTTTATTAGAAATAAAATACTTAAACTTTTTGTTATAAGACCGAAATTTTTAAGTAACAGGAACATTATTTCGATAATGATTACGTTCCACATAACATTGAACTGGCAAACTTGGTAATAGAAAAATATGCAAGCACTAGAATTAGTCACTTTGCAAAAAAAAGACCGATCCCAAAAATGCGTTAGTTACATATATACTAAACTTATTCAATTCAAAACCAATAACAATCATAACACTTTTGACTTTTAAAATAATACTTTTTCACTTTGTTTTATTTTTGTTAATTTTGTATCACTATTTTGTGTTTCGTACCTAATGTAGTTTTTTTTATTTACATTGAACGTTTATTACGTTTATGCACGTTAAACTACATGGCGTGTAACAGCAAGTAAGTTCGGCAGACAAACCAGCAAAGTTAATTAACTTATCGATAGCTAAAGTTGTGGCGTACATCACTATAGTGCAATACTTTCGGGAGCAGTAATACTAGTTTATTTTTATAAAAATTGCACACTTGCTGCGAGGTAGCAAGTTTCTATTTGACTTATTTGGCCTTTATTTTGTATAATATTTTCATAAATACTATTTTTCTATTATATTAAATTATATAATATTCAGAATCGTGTTGAAATTGAGCTGAATATATAAATCATCTAACAAAATCCACTACACATCTATGTGTAATGATTATTATTCATCACAAACTGATTTAGTTAAATTGGGAAATACATTGTCGTTAATATATTTAATTTGTGTAATAAATTATATTTATTTAAAATCAGATTGTTTTTCACTTTATGAACTATGATGGCACTTGGTATTTGACGAAAATATTCAGAAAGTACGAGTTTCAATGATAATATTACTTTAATATTATGTTAAAAATATTCACAGATGAAAAGTCACATATTTTTGTAGATTTGACGTTTTTGGTAGTTTTTTGCATGTAAATACACTGCAATTCAGCATTTTGTCGGAGCTCGATTTACTGGCACGATCACTTGCGGTATGGCGCACGACGCGGAGCAACTAGTTTTATATAACGGGTATGAGTCGGACTCTCGTACTTTTTACAGAGGGTTATGCCTTGCGATGCCGTCTCCTTTGGTATAATACTCAAAGCATGAGCGTATGACGCAAGGAGGTTAGAGAACAGGAGAACGATCGCTGTAGAAAATAGTGTACCAGAAATATGGACAAAATGAGTGAGACGCTTCGATCGCTAAGTTGTTGCAATTAAAGCGGGCTGTTGGGCGTTAGTTTGAAATGATTATAATATCATACAAAGAAAAAAAAAAGAAAATGACATAATTATTTTTATTTATCAATAAATAGATTATAAATTATTACAAATACAAATTATTAATTATTATTGATTTATTATTCTTATTTTTTTATATTATTTCACCATTTTTAGTGTTTCTTTTTGTCAATAATTAAAAAATTACATCGCAGTACTTACTTACCTACGGCAGCGCGGCTATAAATTCTACAATTTTCAAGAACAGGCGGGCTATGTTTTAGCACGTAGCGATCGTTCTCCTGCTCTCTAACCTCCATGGTATGACGTGTGAGATAGAATTAAGATAGAAGTAATCCGACTATGTGCATGTGACCCGAATTCAATATGTTATTATCTGTATTGACATGCTTCACATTTTGGTTGGTTTATAGAGATAAATCTGAATTTATTTTCATTATTATTTTATGTTATTTTACTCAAAACTTGCGTAATCTTAACATTAAACATCTGTTAGCTTGATAATATACAGGTGTTAGTGTAAACACCGTTATCCTTGAAACCAGTGGTTTGGTTTCACTTATAGAACGTAAATTCAATGAAAAATAACAACATTTTTTTAAAGTAAAATATCAATTTTTCCTTAATTCCTCAATTTTTGCCTGTCCTAAGCCAGGATGTAAGTATGAAGGAAAAGTTACATCACAGGTTATGTGTACCGATTGTGTTTTTATTGGAATGTTGTGTAGGTAGCTAGCGCGGTCGGTGATCTTTACAGTGATTACGTCACTCGGGCGCATAGGGTATCCATGAATTTACGGACGGTGTCGGACAGAAACTTTTTAAATTTTATGAAAGAAAATAGGGTTTTTTCTTTTTAAATTCGGATAAATATTTTTATATTAAAGCCGTATTTGGTATTTATAACGAAAATTAATTAGACACCACTCATTTGTCGGCCATCAACGAAATTGGTGGCAGACAACAAAAAACCCGTACGCAAATAGAGACAAAAGACTTCATCACTGCCCTTTTCTGTCATACCGTACTTTTCATATTATGCTTCTTCTCACATAGTAATTATTATTCTTTTAATGGCGAGTCTATTGTATATCCTCTGTCTACAAAAAAACTAGTCTTCTCGCCGGTCCGCTGTCAACTAGTTATGGAGAATTGACTGCAACTTAACGCGCAATGTAAGTTGCGGAGCCTGTTTAGTCGTTTTTTTTTAATTTTATTTGTGCAAGCAGCCATGCAGGTCTAGAAGGACAATATCACTGCGACCTATCAGGTCTATTGTGATTAGAGGTGGGCAAAGTGTATCATTTTTGCGATTGGAACATTTGCATCTCGATCGCTGAAATGTTTCGAAACACTGACATTTTTTTCCTTTGGCTCATTTGTATCATCGACTCAAAAGATATAAAATACAGAATGTTACGAATACATCAAGTTGCGTTGCGGGCGTTTATTACTGACTGATTCAGTGAAATGTTATGTGGCAACAATGCTGAATGATATAAGTGCTTAGGTTATTCAAAATAAACAACAATAAAAATAACTATACATATAATATAATAAATATATTATATGTATAGTTATTTTTATTTTTGTTTATTTTGTACCGTAATAAGGTTGTATATAAAATCGACCCTCCTTAATATTATTTACGTGGTAATGCCATGCTGCAGCCATATTAATTGTATAGTTGTAGCACGAATGGGTCGACTTGACCAGGGAAGGACCACGCTCTCACAGAATACCAGCGTCAAATAGCAGCGAAATTAGAACAAGGAGGTGATGGCGATGGGCCTGTAGTTGGACGGATCTGAGCGGTCGCCTTTTTTAGGGATCGGGTGATTGATTTTGGGACTACGCCTAGAGAGTAGGAGTAGGTACCGGAAAAGACGCGTTAAGATCGGTGCCAACTCTGGAGCACACGTCCTCAGCACAATTGGGGGGATACCATCAGGCCCACTCGACTCTTGGATGTCCAGGGAGAGGAGTGCTTTGCGAACCGAGCGCTGTGTAAATCGCACCTCCGGCATGGAGCACTAACACCACGGGATGGTCAGCGGCGTACTCCCCCGTCATCGAGATTCGAGTTGGAAGCAAAGAAAGAGCCTAGCAGATCGGCTTTCTCCTTTGCAGCATGGGCTAGTCAGTTGTCCTCCCTGTGCAGAGATGGAAGAGATGGCTGTCAGAAACTCCCCTGGACAGCCTTGGCGAGAGATCAGAATGCATGGGTTCCAGAAGGAAGGCGAACTAGTTTCTTGCCAATTCTGCCTATGTGCTCTGACTTTGCCCTGGCAATAACTCTTTGAAGGACCTGGAGGCGGAATTATACTTATTTTTTAGAGCGCTGGTGTTTACATCCCGGGACGTTGATGCGTTAGCCTAAGCTTGGTAGCACTCCTGCTTATAGCTATGCTATGCTATATGATGCTATTTTACAGGAGCCACCAAACCATGGCTTAGATTTCTCTCCGATGGGCACCAAGAGGAAGAAATACAAAGTTCCATACCCTGAAGTACCACGTCAGCGACAGAATCAGTAAGAACGTTGGGATTGTCCGGCGAGAAGCAAATCCGTCCCCAAGGGTAGGATGCAAAGAAAGACCGCATCCTATCCCAATCGGCTAACCTATTGTGCCAAATACGGCGGCAGCCTGCAGAATGCAACCGCTATATCAGCGTGAGTGGCACTACACTCCGGACAAGACAATGATCCGAGGAGCCTCCTCGGAAAGGGGCGTAAACGGAAATCTGATATCTGTCCGGATGAGAGGTCAGCAGAAGGTCCAATAGGAAAGGTGCATGATCCTCCACATCTGAAATCTGCGTAGGCGAAGTAACCAGTTGTGTCTCCCCGCATGATCGGTTAAACGTGAACCACGCCATTCGGCGTGGTGGGCGTTAAATCGACGAGGATCACGATCTCTGCGGAGGGGATCTGCTGTAGCAACGAATCTGTAGCCATTTGGACGTGGTCGAAGAGTCGGTCTGTTTCGGCATTACCGCTATGGGACCTATAGAGGCACCCGTAGACGCGCGAATGGTCGTCGCTGTCTACGCGTAGCCAAAGGATGGACAGGTCCGAACCCTCAAGACTGCCGAGGCGTCGAGAACAGATGTCCTCTCTGACGTAAACACAAATTCCAGCCCGAGGCACAAAGAAGTGTTCC